TATGCTAGTGGGGACTGGCTCATAAATGTCTGACAATTATTAAAAGACTGATGAGAGGCATCAGGCGCATAATAGCAATGAATTCTACTCTATGTTACTGAAAAAGTACTCTGTGGTATTCATTACCAAAAAGCTCTGAGTGTTATACTGTACATGATCTCATAGGAGACTCAAAAACCAATATTATCTCCCACTGTGTACATTCAATCAAGTGAGTCTCGGACACTTAGCACTCAGTAAGCGCATATGTGTGTGTGTGTGTGTGTGTGTGTGTGTGTAGTGTAGTGTAGTTGGCAAAAAGATGGTTAAATACCACCTGTCTCTGCCTCTCACCGCCACAGAATGCTTATGACAGGTTGCCTGGTCATTGTGCACAACAGTCTTAGAGGGATGTCATGGTCCGAATGCGGAAAAGTCTTTGCACCCGCTCAAAGTCAAAAATAGGGGTTGTATTGGCACAGTACAAGTAAAAAATTATCAAAATAACTTAACAAGCACCACCATATGATATATGATAATTATATAGTGTAGTTGGCAAAAAGATGGTTAAATACCACCTGTCTCTGCCTCTCACCGCCACAGAATGCTTATGACAGGTTGCCTGGTCATTGTGCACAACAGTCTTAGAGGGATGTCATGGTCCGAATGCTTGCAGGGTTCTGCTGGGTCAGGCATTTAGCAGGCTTACGCCAGCCCTATAAGAACTGCTACAGTACCAGGAAAACAGATGCACCTGTCAATAGGGGGAAGGAAACTCGAGGGGGCCGGGAGGGATGGAGGCAGGGGGCCGAGGCCTTAATGGAAATGCTGAGTTTATTTACCTGTCTGAATCAGCTGCTGAAACATAGTTAACCGTTTCATGCACAGACACAGACAGAACGGAACTTCTTGCTGAGCTGCATCTAATCTGCACCCTCACTATGTCTAATGATCCTGGTTGACTTTTATAGTGATAATTTTCCAAGTTTTCCAGAAAGAAAAAGAAAAAAGAACCCATCGCCCCACCCCCCACCAGCAAATTAGGGCAGGAGGAATCTTCAAGATCATGTGAGAGAGCATGAATCTCACGGCCTGTTGTTCCAGCAGTCATGCTCTTGTGCTTGGGTGTTTTGTAATGTTGAAAAAGTAGCCCTAGTCTTTCGCTGACATAGACAAAGAGGCCCACTAGAGTACGGAGGCAACCCTTGTATTTGTAACTGTCAGGGAGGAACAGTTGGACATATGACCTTGTGTGCATCCTTGGTGACTTGACAGTGTGTGTACACAAAAGCAACGGGGCAGACACTTGCAGCTGCCGCCATTTTCCGTCATCACATGACTGTTTACACCCGCTCTATCAAACGCCCAAACCCACAAGTCAGTTCTAGCACAACTTAATGCTCATCCATCTGGGTGGAAAATGTGTCTCAGAGGCCTGTGAGACAACCTCTGAGGTTTTCTGTGAATGATAATTGTAATATGCTATTTTTCTTTTTCTTTTTCATGAGCAGCCATAGAAAAACCCTTGATAATATCCTTTATGTCCTCATAAAGGGCAGAGTCACTTCAACATCCATCACTGGCTCATAACAGTTTGGCCTAGATTTCCAAATATCAAGAGAGAGAAGGGGGTGGTGTTCTCTATTGTAATATGCCAGGTTTACTCTAAGCAGAGGAGATGTGATTGAGGGAGACCCGCTTATCCGGTCGCATGAGGAGCAGCGGTAAAGATGGTGCTACTCCATTAGGATGAAGAAAGAGGGCGACATACGTCCTGAAAATGATATCCCCTATTACAAATCAACCATATCAATCATAAAAACAGGAAGCAGATTCAGAAACCCCTGCGAAGCGAAACATCTATTGACAGAGGAGCTGATGCAGTCACCCCAGAGGACTTTCCCGCAGGGCTGGAGTCGACACCGCTCGGCACTGTGAGCTCTGTGAGGGCACCCAGCATGTCACCTAATGAGACGCACAAAATGAGATGATTAACCATCTGCATCTTTTATCTCTGAGTGTGTGGGTACATGTGTGTGACAGGCCAGCCTTCACACGCAGCGTTGTGCTCCCTTTAGTGTGTCAAACACATTTCAATGTTGCAGAATTTTAAGGAGCGAAAGTGCCCCCCTTCTAAAGCAAGAATCACTATTGCTCATACTGAACAAACCCTTAATTCTAAGTATTAAACTTTGGTATGTATCATTGTACTACAGACATGAATGATTACTCAAATCATGTGGCTTGTTGAGCAGAAGTGTGATATTATTTATCTAAGGGATCTGACAACGGATGTGCGGGTCTAGTCGACTAGTCGACACTGAAAACAATAGTCGATTACACGACAGAAAAAAAAGAAGAAAAAAAAAACACAATTATCATTCAAATTACCATCATTTTATGTTACCATCAAATTACCATTGTTACATTTAAAACATTTTAAATAAGTTAAAATAAAACATTTGAAAAATAAAACATTATTTTTAAAAGTGTATCTGGGCGTAAACTACATTTTTACCTCAGACCTCGCATGAGTTTTCTTTGTGTCAGTTGTGGCGAGCTCAAAAGTGACCACGTGAAAGACGAGTAAGGTGTGGGATTATTTTGAATTAGAAGGAATAATTGTGACCTATTTTTAGCGGAATTCATTGAGGGATTTTGAGGATTTTCATAGATTAAGTATTTCAAATGTAGGCTATTATATACACGCACGCACAAAGTTTTTTTGTTTTTTTCTTACCAACTTTTGGGGGTTTCTTGCTTTTAGACTAGTCGGATACAAAACTTCCGTTTAAACGACAGTCAAATTAGTCGTCGCGCACATCCCTAGAAAAAACACATTGCACTGAAGGAATGACCCGGGTCATGAAAGACAATTATCATACAGACTTTAAGGTGGGCCAGTCAACAACCATATAACAACCACCCAGAACACAATAGCAACCACCTAGCAACACAATATAACACCTTTGCAACAGTATAACAATTCCCTGGCAACCATCTAGAACACAACCTTAGCAACTGCATAACATCACAGTAAAAACCTTTTAGAACATCTTCGCAAGCACATACAAATCCCTTGTGCAACTACCCACAACACATTAATGTCATGGAGGCGACTTTTGCATCATTCACATTTTCTTTCTTTTATTTAGTATCTAAAATTTTTTGCACTGTATGCATAAGTTACAGTACATACACTACTGTTCAAAAATTTGGTGTGAGTGATTTTATTTCTTTTTTTAAAGACATGAATGATTTTATTCAGAACATATGCATATGTATCAAAAGTGCTAGTAATAACTTTTATATTACTTCAAATAAATGCTGTTTTTTTTTTGGACTTTCTATTCATCAAAGAATCCTGAAAAATGTATCATGGTTTCCACAGAAATATTAGCACAACTCTTTTTAACATTGATAATAATAAGAAATGTTTCTTGAGCACCAAATCAACATATTAGAATGATTTCTGAAGCATCATGTGACACTGAAGACTGAAGTAATGGCTGCTAAAAAAAACAGCTTTCCTATCACAGGAAAAAATTACATTTTAAAATATATTAAAATAGAAAACAGCTATTTTAAATTTTTACAATATTTTACAATAACACAGTTTTACTGTATTTTGATTAAAATAATTGTAGCCATAGTGAGCATAAGAGATTTCTTTCAAAAACATTTTAAAAAATTTGATCACCCCAAACTTTTGAACAGTAATGTATATCTCACACCCCTTGATACTTGATTAATAAAGCGTTTTTTTTCTGTTACACGCATGCACCTCTCTGCAACAAGCAATATGTAGAGAGTGAGAGACTAACACAACATCTAATTTTATATGATGTAATGTACAACTGAGCAAGACTAACACTGAATTTATGTTTTAAATCTTTTAAAATTTGTGTTGTATAATGTTTTATACAATATTTTCAGTTTTGGCTTCTGGCCAGTCCAGACTTTTTTAGTTTCCGTTTCAGTTTTATCTCAAAGATACTCAAAAGGCAAGCACTCAAAGAAACTAACAAACTAGCATCAAAGCATAGAAATGTGAATATAAACAAATCTGACTCACAGAATCTCCCACAAGTCAGTTACACAAGATAATCTCAATCAAATCTTTCCATCATGATTTCAAGCAATATTTGTACTGACGAGTACAACCTCCAGAGAGCGTGTGCTGGCCTGTGGAGGGTGAGCGTTTGGGTATTGTTGAGGTCAGTAATGGGTGTTGTTGGAACATCAAACATTATTTTGCAGCAATGCAGTTCAGCAGTGTTTTTGCCCTTTACTATGATCATGCCTCCCTCCTACATAGCAACAGAGATAAAAGGATGACTAATGTGTCCAGTGCAGAAAAACATGCATTTAACTCTCGTGCTATAACTTGAAGACATAAATTGCACAAGGGCCAAATGCAAAACAGCTATTTATGGATTTTCAGGTTGCAAGGTTCCTCATAAAGGTTCAGTATAAATCTAAAAAGCTTTCTGTTGCATCTATTGTAACAGAAAAATGTTTATGAAACACATTTACTGTAATTGTATCCACTATTTGTATGACAGTCATTCTGTCTGTCTGCCTGTCTGTCTCTCAATGTTCACACTAGGGCTGGTGCGGCCCAGCCACAGAGCCCACTGCTGTCAGACCATATTAAAGATCAGATGGTATTAAAGCTTGCTGTCGTCATGGAGACCACTTCCAGGAGACTACTAATTGATCTCACTTCCGTTCCATATGTGCTAGTGCTGAGAAGGTGTGAAACACAAAGCATAACAAGAAACATATAGATGTCTGTACATAGCAGCTGGGAAACAACATTACTGTTCCATTACTACAGATTTCTCAATGTGAGATGTAGAAAAAACAACATCTGTATTGAATTTTCAAAGCAAAGCAATAAGACACAAAACACATCTCTTGATGTATAAGCCATTACAATCCCACAATCCTGTGACGGTGCAGAACCTGCCCCACTTTTGCTGGTAGAAATGAAAAAACATAGAGGGAATAGCACTAACCTGTGCTGCCTGTGCTGGGGGGCCTCTGTGGGGCCCCGGCAGACACTAAGTTTCTGTGCAGGGAACCCTGAGGAGGAGACAGCATGGCACCGTCACTCAGAGAGGCAGTGGCGGCCGACAGGCTCTGGCTGCTCAGAGAGGCCCCGGGGATGTAGGACATTGCGTTGGGGTTTGTCACTGGCACAGCCACATGCATGGAGAAGTTCTGCGGGGGCAAGGCCGTCGGCTGGAAGAGAGACACACAAAAAAGGCTTTATGTGGGAGGCATCAAAGACTCTTAAAGCAACCTGTCATGCTTATATTTCATCTAAATATCCCAGTATCAAAATTGACATTCACACAGATACTAAATTATATCTCAAGAAGAAACGATACAATCAGAGAATGGTGGCGAGTTGGTTCTGTGCAGCGTTTGAATTCATTTAGCCTGGACATTCAGGTAGAATTGCCCATAATGGTACGCTGCACATATCTTCAGGCTTCTACTAGAAGTGAAAGATGACCCCTGAGCTTTGGTGCTTTTATCATACAATGGAGGAAAACAGGAGATAGATTGCCGGGTGGAAAAATGTAATCTCAGGAGGGAGATCTCGGGATCACCTTGGGCTGTCCAAAAAGCCCGGCATAAAGTGAGAAATACTCCTGAAAAACAATTATCCTATTGGGAGTTATTTTCACTGTGCTCGGAACACCAATTTTGACCCAGGTTCATTACATAAAACAACATCTTGGGATGAGATATATTACAAAGCCATGCAAATTTGGGAAATATCTTGAAATAGCTTTCGAGTCAAACATGGCTATAGCCAGCACTGCACTTGGCCCTTTCACAAAACAAAACAAATAAAACACAGAAAAACACAAAATACTTTGATTTTTTGTAATCAACATATAGACATTTTATATGGGGAAAAAAGAGGTGAAATAACTACAAGTAATCATAAGGCAGCAACTCTGGCATCATAATCAATTCAACAGGCAGTGCATTGCTGACTATCCATACAGTTATCCAGAGCGAGTGTGAGCAAGGACAGTGTCCATTCACTTAACAGTGAAGCGAGCCAGTTAGTGAAAATATTAGTGTGTTAATGACACAAAGAACTCGAGCTTTGTTTATGTCCATTCGGTGCAGTGGAAACAATTGTTTGGCACCCAATATCAGGTGCAGAATGATATGGTCACCACCCAATAAGATCACTATTGTCTCAATAAAAAAAAAAATACTCGATTTTGTAATTAAATACTCTGAGATTTATTTGTTACCAGCTTGAACTTGAAAATGGTTCAGTTATTTGATTGTACTAGGACTCTGGCTTCTGGAAGGACTAAAGAAATTGTCCAGGGAGATAAACAAAAAAAACAGGTGTTGCCACCCACCAGAAAGAGTGAGACTAAAAGAAATCAGTTCTAATGAGTGGAGGAGAAATGGTGTGAGAGTCTCTCCATCTTTATACAGTGGCAAATCTTCTCCATCACATGACCTGGACAGACCACAGCACTGAGAGAAAATATTCAATTTCCAGATCTTTTGGGGAGAGTGCTGGGAAGAACACATCAATTACCTCAACCAATGAATCTGTCAGTATTCTAGCCAGAAGGTGGACATAGAGACATTCTCTTTGAACAAAAAAAAATAAAAATACTGTAAAGAGATCACAATTGTACTATTTTTTTTAATACAGCGAGGCCCGAAAATCCACACCAAAATGTTTTTACATTTATACATTTGGAAATAAACAGGTTTGTGCAGTTTAATATAAGCTAATTTGTGATGTTAACAATGTTAATTAAACTTTTCACTTAAATTTTATGCTGATAATATAATTTGTAATTAAAAATGTATTCAACTACAAAATGTAAAAATCTCAATTTTATACCTCAGTGTATGTACAGAATCTAAAAAGTGCTTATTATTTTAGAAATTGATCAAAACAATTTCAAATTGTGATCTTAATAATGTGAAAGGTTTAAAAATTGTGATCTTATTAGGGTGAGAGAAAAAGGCTGTAAAATTTATGAGAAAAAAAGTGCACTTCTAACAGACAAAAAAAAACTATAAAGAGTATGCTTTAAAAAAAAATGTTCACAGAGGTTGCAGGGTGAGGCAATAAAAAAAAGGGGGGGGGGAGTACCCTTTCTGCCACAAAGCCAAGCAAAAACGTTGCATTTACTTACGATTTTATGATTTCGCATCATATTATCAAACTCTTCATTAATTTTTTTATATTTTTCTTCTGTGTGAGGGGTGAGGACATATGAAGCGTCAGGATCCGGGCTATCACAGCCTCTGTGTTCTTTCTTGTTAAGCGCCTGTAATGAACATCAACATAAAAAGAGGGATCAACACAAAAAGGCAGGGAGGAAGCAGTACTTACACCACAGCGCTTGTACATTAAATCACTCTCTTCATTTAGTTTGCCGAAACGATCGTCCATGAGGGGACTGTGACCGAAACAGTCATCTGGATCAGGACTGGCACAGTCGATATGGCCTTTGTTTCTTAATTTCTGAAAATGAAATAGGAAAATTCACACAAACATAGACATATGTAAACCCAAACAGCTGTTATCGTTGGGTTCATTTAAACAATGCCAAAGCAATTGATAAATTAGTGAATACGACAGTTAACTACTTAAATAATCTAGGGCAGAACATTTTGATAAAATGCATAACTCACAGAATGTAATAAAGAAAAATACAGTTACTGAACTTTGCTACAATTGCATGCTGCTTAGTGAACACAGAAGAGCTGCGATCGGGATGTTGAAATTGCACTGTAACAGTTCAATGGATAATTTGGCAAATACATTAAGAGGTAATACGCTGATGGTTGCACAATGCCTATTGCATTAGCCCCCGGGGAGGAAATTGAATTGTCACTCCTTATCCTTTCCCTTAAAAACATTAGGCTGGGGAAAACCAAATCGTCTTTTCTTTCTGCGTTTTTCTCCCTCCCTCCTCTTTGCTCTCTTTCTTAGGAACATACATTTCCCTCAGCATGTGTGTGTTGTGATGCATATTTCATTATCTTTCAGTTATCATAAGCCACCCAGCTGGAAGACACACACACACATAAGAGGATCCCACAGTGCAGTGCTTTAGAAGCTCTCTCACTGTAATTCAGCACACCTGCCACTCACAGGAGCCTATCAGAATGAAAGCAATGTACAAATTGAACGGATTATCAAATCTGGTCACAAACATTTATTTAAGTGTGGAGTGGACTGATTATTCTAAGAGCAAAGTGCAAAGGGCACAGCACCTGCTGTAATATTAGCCATTTTAGCCAGAGGGAACGGAAGCTTTTTTTGTAGTTTTTAATAAATACAAGTCTGTATTTCGTTTGTCAGAGGGGAGTCTATTGGTAACACATTACTTAAGGCTTGTATAATACAATTTAATGTTTATCTATGCATAGCTGGTCCTTAAAATAGTGTAATACATTAAAACACATTATCACAACACACAATTTAATGTACTGTCATGCATTATAGTCTTTAAAGGTATAAACATTACCAGGAAAAAACTGTATTGTAGCCTATTATTAAGTATGTACAAAAATAATGATCATTTATGAAATACATCACAATTTCATGCATCATTAGGCATTATAATTAATTATGAAGATAATTTAATATTACAATTACTTTCTGTAATTAAAAATATATAATTTAATGCAAATTAATAATTTAATTAAATGCAATTTCTGAAAAAAGAATTGCATTTACATTATATGGCATTAAAAATATCTTCATAAGGAATAATATATTGCATATCAGATTTAAGTAAAGTGTTAACCTCATATTTTTCAAACTCTCCTTTACCCATTAGACCGGCTGCATTAACAAGATGACAATGAAGGCTGCCAGGTTCTCAAAAAAGGGAAATCTTCATTTGAAGCCCTGGTCTGTTTCTTACTACATGGAGCTCCTGTAATAAGACTCAGGGTAGTTTGGCAGCAGAGGTTACATGTTCTTTCAGATGAAAAAGTCATGTTTTGAAGGAAGTGAAGCAAAGCGCATATACACTAACAAGCCCCTTAGTCTTTGTATCTATCGCGATGTGTGTGAGCGTGTAGGTATGTGTGTGGGTGTGTGTGAGAGTGCCTTTAGAGTGCAGCTGCAGTCCTCTGGTATGTCTGTGACTGTAGAGTGAGATCTTTGTTGATCCTTATCTACTTTATCTAATGACATATGCAACCGAGCTCCGCACGGTGTGAACTCAAACATCAGAGCGCATTCGTACTCATGCACAGGAACAATCGATACATGTACACAATGTGCTTATGTCTAAGCGAAACACAAAATGCAAGAGGTATACTGCTTACAGCAACAGATGCATGGCTTTTCTGGGACCATCTGTAACCATAAAGCTATTTAGTGTGGTGCCGAATGTGGCTCTCGCTCTCTCTTTCTGAGCAACGCCTTCCTGGGTCATTTCCTGTTTACAGGGCCCTATGTGGCTCTCTGAAACACTGTGTTTACCAGTGAAACTATGCACTTTCTCCCCCAGAGTGCCACAGATTCCATCAGGACCTGCAAATTATAGTCCCAACCTGCTCATTATGTGGCAAGTGCTGTGGCTGGAGCTGGGCAGCGAGGTCTGTGTGAGCAGGGCAGGGCCGCTGACTTCCACAGTAACCCTAGGGACACAACACACAATTTAATGTACTGTCATGCATTATAGTCTTTAAAGGTATAAACATTACCAGGAAAAAACTGTATTGTAGCCTATTATTAAGTATGTACAAAAATAATGATCATTTATGAAATACATCACAATTTCATGCATCATTAGGCATTATAATTAATTATGAAGATAATTTAATATTACAATTACTTTCTGTAATTAAAAATATATAATTTAATGCAAATTAATAATTTAATTAAATGCAATTTCTGAAAAAAGAATTGCATTTACATTATATGGCATTAAAAATATCTTCATAAGGAATAATATATTGCATATCAGATTTAAGTAAAGTGTTAACCTCATATTTTTCAAACTCTCCTTTACCCATTAGACCGGCTGCATTAACAAGATGACAATGAAGGCTGCCAGGTTCTCAAAAAAGGGAAATCTTCATTTGAAGCCCTGGTCTGTTTCTTACTACATGGAGCTCCTGTAATAAGACTCAGGGTAGTTTGGCAGCAGAGGTTACATGTTCTTTCAGATGAAAAAGTCATGTTTTGAAGGAAGTGAAGCAAAGCGCATATACACTAACAAGCCCCTTAGTCTTTGTATCTATCGCGATGTGTGTGAGCGTGTAGGTATGTGTGTGGGTGTGTGTGAGAGTGCCTTTAGAGTGCAGCTGCAGTCCTCTGGTATGTCTGTGACTGTAGAGTGAGATCTTTGTTGATCCTTATCTACTTTATCTAATGACATATGCAACCGAGCTCCGCACGGTGTGAACTCAAACATCAGAGCGCATTCGTACTCATGCACAGGAACAATCGATACATGTACACAATGTGCTTATGTCTAAGCGAAACACAAAATGCAAGAGGTATACTGCTTACAGCAACAGATGCATGGCTTTTCTGGGACCATCTGTAACCATAAAGCTATTTAGTGTGGTGCCGAATGTGGCTCTCGCTCTCTCTTTCTGAGCAACGCCTTCCTGGGTCATTTCCTGTTTACAGGGCCCTATGTGGCTCTCTGAAACACTGTGTTTACCAGTGAAACTATGCACTTTCTCCCCCAGAGTGCCACAGATTCCATCAGGACCTGCAAATTATAGTCCCAACCTGCTCATTATGTGGCAAGTGCTGTGGCTGGAGCTGGGCAGCGAGGTCTGTGTGAGCAGGGCAGGGCCGCTGACTTCCACAGTAACCCTAGGGACACACCCGTCCGCTGGGGCCTGAGTCTGCAGGGAGGGGCCCCTGTGGAAATCGCAGACCGCCAGGCCGGCCTTCTCATGGGCACACAGTGCTGATGAGCACAACATTTCCAAACAAAGAATGCGATGGAACTACATTATAGACCTTAATCAGAGTAGATGCCATATTGAATTTTACGCATATGAAAAAAGGGGATGTGAGGGATAGACTTACAGTAATACAATGTCATGCACTGTATAAATGTTCTAGATGGTGTGTTTTTCAAAACTCACAAGTTTTTGTCTACCGAAAGTCCTTTGGAAAGATGTTTTGTCAGCTGAACAATTGGCATGTTGTTAAACAACAGTACACTGTAAAAAACTAAAACAAAAAGTACTATTTCAGTCTTGCTACTAAAATTTCATGTTTAATTCAATGTGTTACATTGTCATTATTTCTAAAAAAAGGAACTAGCAATTTCTGAGTGAAAATTGTTACACTGTAAAAAAGGATTTGACACAAATTTATTTTTAGTTTTACCTTTCTGTTTTACATAAAGCAAAGACTATTGGACTAATGTTTTACAAAAAACTACTATTTCAGTCTTTCTAATTTAAAATGTCACATTTAAACTAAGTGTTACTTGCCGTTTCTTTGTAATGATTTGTAAAATTTACTAGCAATTTCTGAGTGAAAGTTATCATTGAACACACTATAGTTCTGTCCCTCACAGCATCGTTTTCATTTCCTTTAAAAATTTAAATATGGTGCCAAGGTCTATTGTGCATCCAATCAAACAAATAAAGCATATTGTGAGTCAAAATAAAACATAAATAGTGTGACATATGCCAAAATAAAGCAACACAATAGCATTAGTATGGCCTTTTGTCTTGCAAAAAAATTCACATTTGCACAATCCCATAGTGCACCATGCCCCCAAGTGCTTTAAAATCTGAAGGACTGGGATGGCACTCTTCTTAAACGACTTGCCATGTTTTGGGTGTCCCAGAGACACTGCCTGCAGCTCTAGTAAATGGATCACTAAATCAGCACATGTCCAAACAGGTGTCCCTCTCCCCCAACACCTGTCAGCTCCTTCACCTCACGATGCAGCCAATCAGCAGCCTCTGCATGTCAGTATGGTCATAGAAGGGCGCGTTATGCGTTGCGATCAAAATCTGTCAGCGCAGCACTACAGCAGAAAATAAGATGCTGCCAACAAGTGATGAAAGTAAATCCACTAAATACAAGCACAGATGGGGCATGAGTTTGATTTAACTGGATCATTTGCATTCTCAATTACACCTTTAAGTGTACGGCTGCCATGATCTCTCATCAACAGGCCAAAGTGGCGACTACATGCAACATCCTTCCAACCTTTGCAGAAAAAAAAATTGTTTGTAAAGACAACACCAGATGAGATGATGGTTGTGTCTCAAAATTTAGTGAGTTGCCTATCTAGTCAGTTTTTTTTTTACTTTTCTATGTATTGGGTCGACCGATATGTGTTTTTCAGGGCCGATGCCGATACCGATTATTACAGACCAAGTAGACCGATAACCGATATTTTGAGCCGATATATATGTCTGGTGTAAAAATGAAAATTAATGTCAAAATTAAGAATAACAAGGGCTCTGACAAAAACTGCCTGTCTTCTTCCGTGCATCCATCTACAATAAGGGTAATAT